CAGATGAACCTTAAAACTACAAATGAGTGAGAGAATTAAATAACTTGTTTCTTGAGGCATGGGTTGCAATTATCTTGAATGAAAAGAGCGACCACAGAAAGGCAGAGTGAAGGGTTTTGCTGGGGTCGGCACCACCGCCAGTACTCATTAGGTTCTCACAGTTGGGATCTTGCTTAGCAGATGAGCTATAAAAATCTATATCCTACAAGGTGAAACAAGCAAATTTAACTCTGGATTTTCTCTCTTTACAAGTTAGACCCCATAGGGTTACTTGAATGGAGTTAAAGCTATCAACATGTCTAAGTGGTTTTGCTGACAAGGACTACTAGCTAAATTTACTGGATAATTTTTCAAGTACTAGCAAAGGCAGGTCTAAAAGTTATAAAACAGAGCAGAGTGGGATATAAGATATCCTCAGCCCTTGATTTTAGAGGCAACTATTCATAACACCAAAAATTGGTGAAAATGGTAGATTGGAACTTCATAATTTACTCACATCTAAATTTCCACAGTTGCATCAAAAACATCCAGTAAAGTCTCAGGATACAAAATTAATATACAGAAATCTGTTGCACTTCTATACACTAATAATGAAGTAGCAGAAAGAGAAATTAAGAAAACAATCCCATTTATAATTGCACCAAAAATAAAAAAAATACCTAGGAATAAACTGAACCAAAGAGGTCAAAGACCTGTACTCTGAAAACTATAAAAAACTGATGAAAGAAATTAAGGACACAAACAAATGGAAAGATATTCCATGCTCATGAATTGGAAGAACCAATATTGTTACAATGCCCATACTACCCCAAAGCAATCTATAAATTTAATGCAATCCTTACCAAAATACTAAGAACATTTTTTCCAGAACTAAAACAGGTAATATTAAAATTTGTAAGAAACCAAAAAAGACCCCGAATAGCCAAAACAATCTTGAGAGAGAAGAACAAAGCTGGAGCGATCACAACCCCAGATTTCAAGATATTCTACAAAGCTCTAGTCATCAAAACAGCATGGTACCGGCACCAAAACAGAAACAGAGATGAACGGAACAGACTAGAGGAGCCCAAAGATAAAACTACAGCTGTGTGGTCAATTAATCTACGACAAAGGAGGCAAGAATACGCAATGGGGAAAAGACAGCCTCTTCAACAAATGGTGCTGGGAAAACCGGACAGCTACATGCAAAACAATGAAACTGGATCACTTCCTGGCATCATGCACAAAGATAAATTTAAAACGGATTAAAGATCTAAATGTGAGACCTGAAACCATAAAAATCCTAGAAGCAAACACAGGCAGCAACCTTTTTGACAATGGCCGTAGCAACTTCTTCCTAGATATGTCTCCTGAGGCGAGGGTCACAAAAGCAAAAATAACCTGAGTCTACATCAAAATAAAAAGCTTCTGCACAGCGAAGGAAACAACCAATAAAACAAAAAGGCAACCTACTGAATAGGAGAAGATATCTGCAAATGATATACACAATAAAGGGTTAACATCCAAACTATACCAAGAACTCATACAACTCAACAACAAAAAACCCAAATAATCCAATTAAATGGGCAGGACATGAATAGACATTTTTCCAAAGAAGACATACAAACAGCCAACAGACACACGAAAAGATGCTCAACATCATTAATCACCACAGAAATGCAAATCAAAACTACAACCTGTCCGAATGGTTAAAATAAAAAATACAAGAAATAACAAGTGTTAGTGCGGGTATGGAGAAAAAGGAACCCTTGTGCACCACTGGTGGGAGCGCAAACCGGTGCAGCCACCGTGGAAGACAGTGTGGGGATGCCACAAAAAATTAAAAATAGAATTAGTATATGATCCAGTAATTCCATGACTGGGTATTTACCCAAAGAAATAAAAAACACCAATGCAAAAAGATACATGCACCCCTACGTTTACAGTAGCATCATCTACAAAAGCCAAGATATGAAAGCAGCCCAAGTGTCCATCCACAGATGAACGGATAAAGAAGATGTGGTATATATACACAATGGAATACTACTTAGCCACAAAAAAAGAATGAGGTCTTGCCATTTGCAACACGGATTGACCTAGAGGATATAATGCTCAGTGAAATAAGTCAGAAGAAGACAAATACCATATGCTTTTGCATATGTGGAATTTAAGAAACAGAGCAAAGGAACAAACAAAAGGAGTCCAAAAAAACCCTCTTAAATAAAGAGAACAAACTGGTGGTCACCACCGGGGAGGTGGGTGGGTGGAAGCGTGAAATAAAGGGTTTAAGAGCACACTTACTGTGATGAGCACTGAGTGAGGTAGAGAATTGTTGAATAATTATACTGTGTATCTGAAACTAATATAACACTGTATGTACATTATACTTCATTAACTAAAAAAAGTACATATCAAAAAAGAAATACTAAGGTGAAAATGTTTTTTAAAAGAAAAAACAAGTGATAAGCAAAAAAGCCTGTCAACAGCCAATTCATTAATGCATCCTGATATGTTATTTTTACAGGATATTGACAAAGATTCAAAGGAAATTACAATAGAGGAAATGGCCACTTATCTCTAGAAATCAAAAGCTGGAAAATGGGATCTTGGATCAACGCAGAGGAAAAGATACCAATTCGACTGTGAGCCCAGACATTGCGGAGTTGCTCTCTCAGAGAACTTGCTTTTTACAGAGGTCGTCTGGAAAGAGCGTCTTCATGGCTGGTACAGGCTGAGTATGCACGACTCTAGGTGTCCTGGGCATGCACTTTCCTTCTGGAACATGTAGTGTGGTGACTGTGCCGTGGGCAGGGCCCTGAAAGAGCCAAGCACTGGATGCCCCCAGGTCTCAGGGTCAATCTAACCAAGGATTTCACTTTTGTTTTTGCAGAGCCTAGAATACTGCTTTTGCTACACAAGAGGTGCTCAAACCTTGTCTGCCTAACAGAAATGATAAACCCTACCATACTTCCACATGTCACCACATAAGGTACCCTTCCCACAATCAGGACACTTGGGGATTCCAGCAGGTGGCTGCCTCTGGCTCTGCCTGAGAATCACTTGTGGAGCTATTACAGAGGTGGGTCCTGGCAGCTGCAGTTTCTAAAACTCCACTGGTGGTTCTCATGCACAGGGTGTAGAGTCACTAATCTGTAGGTAGGAAATGGGTTGCACTTTCCATGTACCAAATTCTGGAAGGGGGCGTGTGTGTGAGAGAGAGAGAGAGAGAGAGAGAGAGAAGACTCAGGACTTGGACTTGGACACTTCACTGAACTCAATCTAGATTATTAGATCAAAGACCAAGGCAGAACACAATATAAACAAGGACTTTATCAGATTAAGGGCCATACACACCTTGGCAATTAGACACTGAACTCACTACTCCTGGGTAACAGCAGGGAAGTACTGCAGCCTCAAGCTGGGCACTGAAGTTTCAGCACTGCAATCCGAAAGATCACTCAAGGTTTCTCTTCTAAGCCTTTCTTCCTCTCCGATCAATAATGACCTCTGGTGCCTGGCCCCTGACAGCCTGTGGCATCACACTTTTCATCATTTTATGGCCAATTTAGGACTTTGTTGCGAAGCCCCATGCGGGAGGCTACAGAGCCCCATAGCCAAGACGACAGGCTCTGGACGCAGACAGTGGGGTCTAAGCCCTATTTCCCTACTAGCTATGTATCCTCGAGCCAGCTGATTAACCCCTCTGTACCTCAGCTTCCTCACTTGTAATCTGGGAACAGTAACAGGTTATTGTGAAATTCAGATAATCCACCTGGTAACCACTCAATGCCTAGCAGGATCTGTAACCTCTGTTAAAAGTCCCAAAGATGGAAAATGCAGTGTGTCCCAAGCGGAGCTCCTTTTCTCCTGCAGTTCCACACCAATTTTCTCTCAGTAACGGCACCGCTGCCCACCCAGGTGCTCCAGTCACAGCCCTGGGAGCCTGCCCAGACTCCTCCCCTTCCAGGACCTTCCACATCCACTCCATCAGCAAGACCTGTGCATTGTTCCTGCAATATACAGAGCCTTCTGTGGACATTCACTGTCTCACGGTCCTCTCTGTCCAAGCCTGTCACCTCTCGTAATCCAGACACTGCCTGCCTCCCTGCCTCAACTCTGACCACCATACCCTTCATTCTCCCCAGAGTTCCCAGAATAAGCTCTTAAAATGTCAGTATGATCATGTCACTTTACTATTTACTTCCCAGCGTATGGAATGTGAGCAATGTAGTGATGACCTAGCGCTGACCTCGCATAAGAGGACAACACTGGGGACTGCAGGAGCCAGGAGACCGGAGGAATCTGGGTCCCGGGATGTCTCTGCTCTGGTAGAGCACCAGCCCCATACCTGTACTTAGGGTCCCCGTTCCACTGCTCTAGACTGCTCACCTTCACACATTATGAGCGGCAGCATCAAGCTTCCACCTCGTTGGAACCAATGTGGTTTGAAGCCTCCGTTACAGAAGCTTAACCTGTGCCCTGGTAACATGGACCCTGGAAGTGGGGTGCTTCTGTGACAGGGCCTAAGTGACAGCGGCTTCGTGGTCAGGCAGTGGGGGGTGAGGAAGCTCATTCAGGGAAGGAGACTAGCCACTTCTGTTATGCCGTGCAAAACATCTGAGAAAACAGTACCTGCATTAACTCAGGGGGCAGATTCCAGGCTTACCAAGCCTGTAGGCGCAGAAGAAGCAGAAGAACTCGATGCTGGGAAGGCTGGCGGCTCCTTGGTGCTCTTAGCAAGGAACCGAGAAATAAAGGAGGTGGGGTGAGAACCCGCCAACTCGCAAGCAGAGGTGGAAGTCACAGAGCGCTGCCCCCCCCCGACGGGACTTCCTCCAGCTCCCTAAAAGGCTAAGCGATTCCCGGTCTCCCATCCTGCTTCCCTCCCAGTCTGACGCAGGCCTGACCGCGCAGGTCCAGCTCCCGCCGGACCTTGATCGGCACCCCCCCCACCAGTCACCTCACCTCACCGCGCCCAGATCTCTGCGCTCCAAGCACTCCACCCCGGCGCGTCTGCTCACCCCGCAGCCCCACCCCGCCCGGTCCGGCGCCTGCACGCGGGGCCGTGACTCGCGAGCAGCAGCGCGCACACCCCGAGCCCGCTCACGGGTCAGGGACACTGCCAACGACACTGGCTCAGGTCCTTCGCAGAGTGGGCAACAAGAGCCCCGCTCCCGCATCCGCGCGCAGGCGCGGACGGAAGCGGGCGGGGGGGGGGGGAGCGGCGCCGCCGCGCCCCTGGCCCCCCCCCCCCGCCCCCGGCCCCCCCCCCCCCCCCAGGAGGGCGCGGGCGTGACCCCGGCCGGGCCTCCTCCCGGGAAGGCCCCCGGGGGGACGCGAGGCCCAGCGGGGCATGCCCAGGGACTCCGCCATCCCGTTCCTCACGCCCAGGCCCCGGGGGGCTCACCGCGTCCCCCGGAACCTGAAGCTCCTCCGCCCTCCGCCGTCGCCACCGACCCGGCACCAGGGTGTCCATGCGGCCCCAAGCCCGAGTTCGCGGGCCTCTCATCCCCACCGAACGCCGGGCGCGGGCCGAAACCACTGAGGCCGCGCCTCCTTCCCCACGTGTCCGCGGGGAGCCAATGAAAGACGGGGGGGCGGGTCGAAGACCGACGGGGCGGGGCCCGCGGGGGCTGCAGGCCGGCGTAGCGAGGACCAGAGGCTCCTGGCGAGAGGGGGCCTCTGTCCCAGGTCATCGCTTCGCGGAGGGCCAGCCGGTCACCTCTCCGGCCACTCCGAGGAACCCACCCCGTTAGCGTCCCGCCACGACTCGTCTACAGGCGGTGGATCGCCTGGGGGAAGCTCCCGCCTCCTCGCTCTCGTAACTGGTCGCTGAGCGCCGTCGGCAGCCGTCTTCCTGTGGCTGGTGGCTGCTGGCGGACGGATGGCGCGGCGAGCCAGTCCGCGTGGGCGAGCCTGGGGGGAGCGGGTCTCTGGGAGCTGCAGTCCCGCGGAGGTGGCCGCACTTCCGGGAGGCGGCGGCCTTGGGGCGGCTCCGGGTCTCCGGCCGGGGGTTGCCCTGGGCGGGGGCTTCCTCGACAGGCTGGAGGGCTGTGCAGAGGGGAAGTGGAGGCCTCGCCGCCCGTGGCTCCGCTGCGCCCGCGTCCTCAGGGAGCCGGGCCCGGAGCAGGCAGTCCCGGCCCAGACCGGGCCGTACGGCACTCCTGTTAATGAGCCGAGCCCCTTGGCAGTGGCTGGCCGGCGGCGGCAGCCCACCGAGCTGTGGCCAGCGGGGAGTAAAGCTGGTCTGCGGAGGGCAGGGCGCCGGGACCGAGTGGTGGACAGAGACAGGGTGCGTGGGCGCCGCGTTCTCTCCCGCCCAAGCGTCCGCTTCCCGGAGCTGCTGCAGCCTTCCTGCCCCCATGAGGACGGCTGGAAAGGAGGAAGGAACCAAGGCCCGAACACTCTGAGCTTCCGAACCAACCCACAACTAAGTGCCCGCCAGTCTCCAGACTTCTGGCTGTGTTTCTGTTACTCGAGTCACCGAGTGTGCTGCTGCAAGTGAAGACGTCCTTGGTGGCTCCGCCCAATTCTGAGCCCTTCTGGTGAAACGAGTGAGCCCCCCTCCCTTGGACTACTTGCCGCATGAGCTTTGGCGAGTTAGGTGGCTCAGCTACCTCAGTTTGCTGAGAGTCGATTTTGAAAGTTCTCAGCATAAGAAAAAATTAACTATTAGTGTGAGGTAACAGATGTGCTAACTGACCCTATTATGGTAATCATTTTGCAACATAAATATATATCAAATATAATAAATAAATATATATCAAATCATTACAGTTCTACAATGTTCTATGCCAGTTATATCTCAATAAACTTGGGGGGACCTTGGGGCCAGATGTGTTTTTGGAATTAAGAATCTAGGATTTTTTTTTTTTTTTTGAAGGGCAGTATATATATCGTGTGAAACACCTTCAGCAGGGCCTGGGATAACATCCTATAATCAAACACAATATTTCTGTGGCAAAATGTGTGAATGTTCACAAATATTCACCCTAAGTGGGCTATACAGCGGCTTTAAATAGTCTCATATTTACGTGAGTTTGCGAAAACTTAGGAAGAACGAATTTTTAGAACTGTTTGCATTTCAGAATTGAAAATAAGGTGCTGTCATGAACCTGTATGACGATCTCTACCTTAAAAACTTTTTTTTTTCGGACTTGCAGTTTAGATTAAATGATGTGCTGTGTCGTCTGATTCCAGTACCACTGGTGTTTGTACTTGGTGCTGCTCTTTCAGATGCTGAGTCCACCGTTGGGTCATGAGGGAAAGCTTAGCCTACAATCTAGTGACAGATACTCTCCTTGACCAAACTGCGCTTAGGCTCCCCTGAACTCTCTTCTCAACTAGTCCCTGACTTTGGGGCTTCCATGTTAGTCTCTGCATTGTCCAATTTAAGCAAGAATCCTGCTAAGTCAGTTTGCCAGAATCCCCTATCCTTGAGACCTGATCAGCCTCAATATCTGATGGGGCTTCTCATTACCCACATTCCCCCAGGTGATGTCTGATCACCTGGCCTGCCTTCAGCAAGAATCCCGTTAGGCTGATTTAGAAAGAATTGTCCCTCACCCCAGACGCTTCCTGCTAGTAATTTTTCACCCACCGACCTTCCCCTGCCCGCATCACACTCCTCGGCTATAAATTCCCAGTCTGCTTTGTATTGGGCATTGATCCCATCCTTCCTCCCCTGCGGCAAAACTCCAATATAGTAGTTCCTATAACTGTCACAATATACTATTAGAAAAAAGACTGTCGCAGTGGTCCCCCTGAATAAAGTCTGCCTTACCTTCGTGTCAAGTGTCATGAATATTTTTTTCTTTAACACTGTGTACAGAAATAGATATATCTAATAGACTGTAATTTAGTGTAATACACTATTTGCCAAACACCAAGCATTTGGGTACCCATTACAAGATGCATACAAAACTCTGCTATTACTTAACTTGGTATATTTGTTTAAATTAATGTCATAAATTTTTTAAACTAAAAGTACTATGGGGCGCCTGGGTGGCTCAGTCGTTGAGCGTCTGCCTTCGGCTCGGGTCATGATCCCAGGGTCCTGGGATCGAGCCCCGCATCGGGCTCCCTGCTCAGTGGGAGGCCTGCTTCTCCGTCTCCCACTCCCCCTGCTTGTGTTCCTTCTCTCACTGTCTCTCTCTCTCTGTCTCTCTCTCTCTATCATTAAAGATAAATGAATAAAATCTTTAAAAAAATAAAAATACTATAAAACATCTGTTAAATGATGTTTATAGTGCTCATTTTAATATATTAAAGCAAATACATTAACTATTAGAAAAAAAACTGGAAAATCCTCATGACATCGGATTCTTGCATATATATGACTCCAAAAGCAGAGTCAACAACAACAAAAATAGATAATTTGGACTATATCAAAATTAAACACTTCTGTGCATCAAAGGACACTATAAACACAGTGATAAGGCAGCCCAAAACATGGATTAAATATTTGCAAATCATATCTCTGATAAGGAGTTAATACATAAAGAACACCTACAACTGGACACCAGAGAAACAACCTGATTAAAAGTGGACAAAGGACTTACATAGACATCTCTCCAAAAATGATATACAGTGGCCAATAACCACTTGAAGACATGTGCAACATCAACTAGTCATCAGGGAAATGCAAATCAAAACCACAGTGAGATACCACCTCACACCCATTAGGAGGCCTATCATAAAAACACAAGTGTTGGCTAGAATGTGGAGAAATTATAAGCCTTGAGCATTGCTGGTGAGAATGTAAAATGGTGCAGCACTATTAAAAACAGTCTGGCAAAGTAAGTCAGTCAGAGAAAGGCAAATACCATAGGATTTCACTGATATGTGGAATTTGAGAAACAAAAGAGATGAACACAGGGGAAGGGGGGAAAAACAGCGAGGAAAACAAGCTCTAAGAGACTCTTAGCGCTAAAGAACATACTGAGGGTTGATGGAGGGAGGTGAGTGGGGGATGGGCTAGAGGGGGGATGGCCATTAAGGAGGGCACTTGTTATGATGAGCCCTGGGGGTTGTATGTAACTGATGAATCACTAAATTCTACTCCTGAAACCAATATTGCACTGTATGTTAACTAACTAGAGTTTAAATAAAAACTTAAAAACATACAAAAAACTATATGGCATTTCCTCAAAAACTTAAGGATAAAATTATGATCCTGCAACTCCACCTCTGGGTACGTAACACAAAATAACTGAAAGCTGGGGCTCGAACACCCATGTTCATTGCAGCACTAGACATAGTAGCCAAAAGGTGGAAAGAACCCAAGTGTTCATAGACAGATGAATGGGTAAATAAAATGTGGTCCGTCCATACAATGGAATATTATTTAGCCTTAAGGAAGGACATTCTGACACCTGCCACAACATGGAATCCTGAAGGCATTATGCTCAATGAAATAAGCCAGTCACAAAAGACAAAGTATAATCCTACTTATATGAAATATTGGAATAATCAAACTCGCCAAGACAGACAGATGGTGGCTTCCAGGGGCTGGGGGAGGGGACTGGGAAGTTAGTGGCTCATGGGTGGAGACCTTCAGTTTAGAAAGATGTGAAGAGTTCCAGACATGGATGGTGGTGATGGTCGCTTGATGTCACTGAACTGTACACTTAAAAATGTTTAAAAGGGTGAATTTTATGTTATGTATATTTTACCACAATAAAAAAGTAAATAAATAATAAAAGGAAAGTGTTTTTCGGTGCACCACTTACCATCACTTGCACACCGCCTTCCAGGGAAATGGCTTTCAGGAGGAAGGTGACCTGAGTTCCAGTTCCACCCTGCTCATCGCCAGCTCCCAGGCAGGCTGCTTTAACCTCTCATTCCCCGTCCCTCTCAGTGTATAAAGTTGGAATGCTAAGAGAGGTGCCTACCTCAATGGAGTGCTGTGAGTTTTGGGTGAGATACTGCCTGCAGAGTGGTGGGCATGATGCAGGATGTGCAGTACATGGTCAGCTCACAGCTCACTGCAGCTGCCTGACCACCTCTGGTCTGTCCCCATCTGAGCGCTGGATGTTTCTGGAGGTTTGGTGTGCTTATGGCTGCAGGACCTAACTAGTGACGTATGCTGGGGCAACTGTTCATTTCTGAGCCTCAGTTTCCCCATCTGTACAGTAGGAATAAAATAACTTGCTCCTGTTCCCTGCCTTCCAGGAAAGAGGGAGCTTCAAGGAGTGGCTGCAGATTGTTTGAAAAACATGCGCGGGGGCGGGGGGGGGGGCTGGGTGGTTCAGTCTGTTAGGTGTCCGACTCTGGATTTCGGCTCAGGTCATAATCTCGGGGTCATGAGATCGAGCTCCATCGGGCTCTGCGCTGGACATGGAGCCTGCTTGGGATTCTCTCTCTCTCCCTCTCCCTCTGTCCTTCCTCCCACTCACGCACTCTCTCTCTAAAAGTAAATAAATAAAATATATATTAAAAAAAAAGAAAAGAAAAACATGCTCAGCTTAGCCTGGCCAAGGGAGGTGTGTGTGTGTGCGCGCGTGTGTGTGTGCGCGCGTGTGCGCGGCGCGCGCGTGTGGGTGGGTGTTGTAGGGAGGGGGTTGAGTAACAGTTTTGTTGCAAAGCTATGCCTGTTTTTCCATTGACTTAAATATCCCCCCCTTCCAAGGTCCCTCCAATGACCTCTTTTAAAAATTACTACCTCTGTTTATCTTGCTGGGATGTAAAGAGGCAAAACATATTAAGCCTCTAGCACAGAGCCTGGCACATAGTAGGCATTTAATAAATGTCCCTTCTTTTACTTCTTGCCCCCTTATTAAAAGAAGTTCCTGACACTTCCTTGGGCACTAGTATAGGGTTATGTTTTT